AGTAGCACTGTCTAAGGCTTTCCATAGGCATACTATTAATAGCACATTCAAATTATTTTTTTTTCTTTTTCTGAAAGTATTTTTTCAATTGGTTGACAGGTATMTTGTAATGCAGATTTACGTTTCACAGATATCACCCTAAAATGCACTAGATTTGATTTTGTGGTAAGGCTTACTAGTTTTGTAGYTTTGTCTTTGCTGCCCATAAATGACAGGGCTTACCTTTCTGCACAATCAGAAAAACAGGAACTGCAATTATGAGAAATTAATTGGTCCTCCAAAGGTGTTTTGGTGTGAAAACAGGGCATTATGCAGGAAGAGTTTTCTATTAAATATCCAGCTTTTCAGTGTTGATGACCGTGTTTTTCTGGCATCATCACTAGGCCTTCAGGTCAACGCAACAAGTATTGTTTCTTCTGTTATTTTATTACTACAAATTCCATATCAGCATGATCTTGTAGAGAAAGAGAGGAAAAAACAGGGAGATGCCAGTTCATATTTCAATCTCTAGTAATATATAGTTTTTGTCCAGTTCTTATCACAAGAAAGAATCTGGCTGGTACTATGTACCTACCCTTAAGTYAGTGACTGCTATATTTAAAGAGCTGGTATTCTGGATAACATGCAGAGGACCTACATTTGTACCAGTTCTACAGATCGTGACGTCATTGCCTTAAATGGATTAACTTGGGATTTACCCTACCTTTGTATATGGTAGTTGTGGTTCAGGATGCCTGAAGACAGGGAAACACAAAATGGAAACTTCTTTTAAGTTCTTTCTTAGAAGACTGTTGTTCTTCTCTTTGTTTCCCTATGAAACCAAACAATTGAATGAGATGAAACAAACTTCCCTCTCAATTTATGCAGTTAAGCACTGGTGATGTATGTCCTGCTTTCTAATCCGTGAGTTTTCCCTTTCCAAAACCCCTTTCATCAGCCACAGGAAGATGCCTGAAACTTACGCCTTGATACCTTTCATTAGACTGACAAATCTACATTTGGCCTTAGAAGATTTTAGCTCATACATGGATCCRCAAATTGCACCACTAAACATGTTTCATTGCAGACCCTACCTGTCTGCCCTCGTTACCTCAGCCTGGCTCTCTCCAATGGTCTCTCCTCATGGTCCGTGGCTGCCGCAAGCCCTCTGCTCCATAAGTGGCCTGTGACAGGAAGCACCTGGGTGTTCCCCATTTATAGGGCAGGTGGAGGAGAAGCTGTTCTAAGTGAAAACACAGAATTAGCCAGCATCCTGACTCCTGGTGGGAAAATGTTTTATTAGTCAAAAAATACTTTACACCCTGTGGTGTCTAATAGACCTTTAGTCTTGCATCTGCAAAAATCAGAGAGAAATTCTTCTGTCATTTTCATAACAAAATTAAAATAAAGAAACCCTTTTTAAATGTTGAGTTAAAAAGAAAAAGGAAAAAAAAAAGAGAGAGAGAGAGAAGGAGAACTTCAGTCTGCATATAAATACTTTGTAAGCTCAGTTGCAGCGTGGTACAGGCAGTGCTAGCAGAATTTCCAGTATGTTAGGGTACAGCTCTGCTCCCTACCTATTGTGGAGGGGTTGTGGGGAGAGACATGGAGCTGAAGCAACAAAGTTTTGTTTCACCAAGAGTTAGTCATGCAGCAACATCTCTTTCTACGCCTATTCTGGAAATATAGAAAGGGAAAAGAAGATGAAAACTGAAAATTTTGTCATCTCATAATCCTATTTCCCCCAAAACGTGGTGTAATGGAAAGTTAGATCCTGACAGAGTAATTACTGGGTACATAGTTGGAAGTATGACAGGGACCTAATGAAGTGCAAGTCTTTGAGTGTGARGGGACATAAGCCAAAGCACATTCTTTCATCCACAGTCCTCATGACACATTCTAGTTTTCTAGTTCTACTCTTTTTATATAACTCTTTTCATCTTAGAAAAAAATATTTTTGTCGTTGAGGTGAGAGATGTAGATAGATTATGTGGACAAGACGTTTAATACTGTTTTAGTAGAAGATCAAAAATTAGTAAATGGATTCAAGGAGGAGGTAAATATGAACCAAGAATTTGCCTATAATCTTTTAAATCAATCCCAATTGTGCTACCTTCTATTCTAGGCTAGGCAAATATCCATATTTGAGACACTCACGCTCTTTGCCTGCAGTCTAATCRTAATTCCACATCCACTTGTATCCAGAATGGAAACAATTAAAACCRCTCTCAACTTCTACACTCAATTTCCGAGTAGTAGTTCTTTTCCAAAATGGAGAACAGCCTCAGATTAAGGAGGAATATTATTTAGTGATTGATAATCACAGATAACTTAGTTATGACCAATGAAATCTTAATACCATTCTGCACAGTACATATGCATAGAAGTATAGGGAAATATGTATAGAAACTGAACTCTGGCWCTACTGTCACTAATAGGACTTCAGGTCTTCAAAATATAAACACAGTGTTAAAACAACATGAACATTTTGAGGAGCACAGAGTTTGAAATGCCTAAGAATTAAAACAGTGGGGAATCAAAMCAGACACCTTTGTGTCAGTAAAACACTAGTGTTGCATCAGCCTAGCTCCAAAGCAATATTAAAAGGTGGAGCAAAGATTCCCAGCAGACCCTAGCATTCAATTAGCATATTTGTTTCAACAACTCCATGAGTTCAAACATGTGTTAATATTTTAATGTTGGATAATTACTGTTATGATAACCAAAACATCCTTTAGTGAATGCTGTATAGGATATTGAAAATAACATGACAATAATGTTAGAAGCAGATAATTTAATGTAGCATACAAATACTAAAAATACAAATATTTATAGAGATAAAAAWTTTTCCACAAGATACTTAGTATATAATGATGCATCCAAATAGAAAAAGTTCAGTTTAGAAAAACAATTGACATAAATCCATGCCAAAATTAATATTAAATATTCTCTCATGTTTGTTATATAGTAAAATTTCAGGCATTTATTAGCTATCATAACTTGGCACTTGGAATGCACATGAATTTGTTTCAACACACATGCTTTCACCGGAAATAACAAAGCCTTCCAAGGGCATTTGGGATTCCCTGTCAGCTTGGAGTAATTAGTCTCATTTTGGGTCATTTCTTCATTATTCCTTTACAAGTTTAACATCTTTTAATTATTTTTCAAATGGCAATTGACTTAGAAGAAAGTAGTAGTTGGGTATTATTTAAGTTCCTGTTGCGTCGGGTAAGAAAGTTGGCTAGCACTGACCTAGGGTATGTCCCACACGTGTCACATTAGGAGCAGTGCTAGAAAGGGAAAAACTGATGGGTGACATGCATTGGTAATTGCCATGTGGGAGAAGGAAGGCTGTTCATCAGAGCCTCATGATAAGACAGGATGGTTTAGGGTCAATACACATACCTTTGAAATACTGCAGGTTTTGACAAGAGATCACTCTGCTTGTCCCATGTCCTCAGCTCCCGCCCTAAACATTCAGCACTGGTCCTGGTGACAGGCGACCTAGGGCACTCACACACCTTTGGGGAGGGTCAGTCCCACTTCAGGTATTCATGGAAGCTCCTGGTTCAGTCACACTTAACAGTTACCAACTTTTCTTTTACACAGGCAAGAACTTGGGCAACCTGCTMTACTGGCAATTTGCTGAGGAATTCTAATATTCCCAAAGCCTGCAGAGTTCCTACAAAAATATAGAAGAGGAAAATAAAATCTTTCACAAACATATGCTATAAGCCCTTACTACAAAATTCATATCTCAACACTAATACACAAAAAATATTGGATAAAGCTAAATTGAAAAGCTCAGGTGTTCAAATGGGCAGGTGTTTGAAAAACAAAATTCAAAGTCAAAGATTGGGAAATGCTCCAAAACATCTTTAGAAGGTTGCACACAGGAAGACCTTTGGGCATGGATGCTCTGTTTCAGCAAAGTCAGGGAATGGCAAATCTCTTACTGTGAGTATTACAGTTTTACTTAACTAACATAACTCATCATCCCTCCTCAAACTTGCCTGAAGAAATCACTGAAGAAATCAAATCCTTTGGGATATTCAAGTCTGACAATGCTAATTGAAACAGATGGCAGCACCTGCATTTGGGAAACATATATCATTATCAGAAAATTAAGAAAGAAGAGCTATAACGACATTTTATATGATTTTAAAATATAACTTTTCTATCATATTGTACAAGTGATACCTCATTATTAGCATTATTAGGATCTGTGYGAGTCCAGGTTTACAGCACTGCTTCCAAGCATTAAAAGTCTGTGACTAAAGGAAGAAAACAAGTTAGTCCTACAAACTCTTGTTTTCTTACTGCAAATGGCTCATGTTGAATCATGTGCCTGACCAGGTAATGCTTGCACAAATTATAAGACAATTAATTAAGCTCCACAAATGGAAGGCAAAATCTTCACAATTAGTTGGGGAGAAGAGCTGACGCGAACGAAATGGGGGGTTGCTGCCTCCCACAGCAGCTRCACAGAAGCTCGCCTGTTTTGAGAATTCAGTACAGCTTTGAGTGTCGGGTGCTCTACCCCCAGCACTGGTCACCTGCTGAGAGCTTGCATTGAACTACGTTACGTTGTAATTGGATTTGCCGAAGGCACTGCATTAGCATTTTCCATGATCTCACCCTTATTAGCCAAATCACTAATCAGGGGTAGTGCTGTTGCATTGTTTGCTAGTTCAACTGGCTGCTGCGCTAGTGTCTGCTTGCCAGCTCCATATTCATGCAGAGATAAAACTCCTATCTCTAATGGAGACTCGGGAGTTTTTTCTGTTGCTAATGTTGCTGTCAAACGCCAAACAGCAATTTCTTCCTGGATACTGGGTCACTTGCTCCTTTGCTCGTGTTCTGCTTGATTTCACGTCGCAGGAGCGCTCTTTCATCAGGCTAGGCAAAAGCAGCATCGCTCTAAGGTTTAACAGCACAAAAGTGCATTCCYATGGACTATTCCCCATGGCGCCCCAAATCAAATGTTGAAAATGTTTATGGAGTTTATTGTTTAAATGCAGAGACCTTTAAGTTCTAAAAGTAGAAGTCACATGTGCAGACAATCTCTGACCACTCGGCCTTTGCACAGCTCTGGTGTTTTTAATAGGATTTTCAACTCTCATTAGCTACTTCTGAGTCACCAGAAAAGTACAGAGGACATTTCACATGACTTTCTCCTCCTGGTGCAAAAATCTTGGTTCCTTCTTGCACCGGGAATTCCAGGAGGTTTTGGTACCTACCTTCCAGAAACTATGCTGTTAAAAAAGCCTGAAGGGAAGAGACAACCTTGCAAGCAGACTGCCGGGCAATGTCTGCTGAGCATCCATCACCACAACTTTCTGAAAAGTTTTAGTCTCATAATTTCATATGAAATTTCATAGTTTCTGAGAAGTTTCATAGTTTTACAGATACATGTTCACTTACAAACGAAGGCTATATTCTCAGAATACACGTCACACAACTATGTTCAGAATCACTACAGTCAAATTCTTTACTAGAATCATCTGGAAATATAAAGGCATTTTCACAGAGAAGTTAAACCCATGAAATACTTATATTAATATTCTATTGATACAAATAAGTACATGTAACAATCTGATTATGTTTTTCATATACTTTTGGAGCCAAATCAAAAGCAGAGCTAGCATTGACTCAAAATGGGAGTAAGGCAGTCTACGTGGCATGCTATCCATAATACCCTGATTTCAATTACACAAGTGTGTTAAAACAGTAAAGCAGATTTCCTTTTTACCAAACAACCAAGAAGAAAAGAGTACAGAATTCAAGAGCGTACATCAACAAATCATTCCCAAGAATCAAATAAAAAGGACTGTAATTTTCAAACAAAAAAAAATATCACAACACTATTGGGCTTAAAGCCCTTGAATTTGAAACAGATGTGGCAGTTTCTGAATCCCCAGCAATAACTGCATCTTTTATCATAAGGCATTTTAATAGGTTCTCATAGCCAGCACAAACAGCATCTTCAGAACAAAGGGCARTGATGCTTCCCAGCAGAGTTTAGCTGGATCCTGAGGATCACTAGCCTGAATGAGCCGCTTTTCTATTGTTCTTGCAAGGATTTCATCAGGCATAAGTAATATGCACTGCAGAGATAAGAAGCTAGGAGCAAAAATAAGTCACAACAAAACATAATAATGAAGATGCAAGACTAGTTTGCAGTCTTTGGTCTATGCTTCTGCAGGTCATAGGTCATCAGGGATGGGCTCCTTTCTCTGAAGATGTATCTGCAAGTAAATCAACACAAATTATTTTGCCATTGAGAATCACGACTCTCTTTTGATTATTTTTCCCCCATTCTCTCCTTTTTTTGCTGTCAATATTGTATATCACTGAAGACCTGCGATCAGCGCAGCACAAACTGTAGTGAATAGGAAGAAGCAAAAGAGGATAGGGATATCACACAACAAGACAGTAGCCTCTATCTATTTCTTTACTGTGATCTATTCCTGAGGATACTTGATATGGAAYGAACAGTAGGGTCTAATAACTAAAAGCTCCCATGTAATCCTTCTAGACCTCTGAAAAGAATAGCTGACATTCAGAAGTGCTCATTAAGCACAGATAAACATTAGCTGCACCCAAGATAGCAAGTGAGGAATGGCAGAGGGAGGAATGAGGTGGTTCTATCCACTGTTAATTAGGGGTCTGTGGTACAAATATGTATTTGATAGTAACTCACCTGAGCAAGAAACACAAAATACAACTGAAGAAAGGAAACACACTATAGTCAGTGTAATACCTCCTTCCTTTCTGAAGTTTCAAAAGAAATTACTGAGATGCTGAAACAYGTCACTACTAACACACACACACACCCCCCACTGAAGTGCACTGAGTACTTGGTTCTCAAGAGAAAGTGAAATATTTCTAGCAGTATTCTCAAACTGTCTACGAAAATTGCTCTGCAGCTACTACCCAGCAAGACCATCATTCACTTCTGAAGGCACCTAGCTGATGATATCCCAGTGTATGATATATGAAAGAAAATGTGACCCAAAAGGTCCATATTTGTAGCCAATGGCAGCACCACATGAATTACTGATTTTGGTGACATCTTTTTCTTTGCAGGCAGTATTTASAGCAACAATTCATGTTATTTGTCCACAAAAGGCAGAGCAATAGTTAGCAGACTCGTTTCTTGTGTAGATATACTTATACAGATATATACGTACACACATGCGCACACACACGAACACACACACAAAACAGGAAGACTTTTCACAGTCCTTATATCCATTAGACTACAACAAACTTACACCACAGTACTCATCTCAATCTTTGTTGCCATAGAATTACACAGAAAATAATTTTCCAAAACAACCAATGATATGATAGAAGTATGAACAGGTACATTTCCAGAGTTCCAGATTTTACAGAGTTCCAGATAACTCTGATTTTTTTTTTTTTTTTTTTATGAGAACTCTTTCCATTCATTCTCAAACTCAAAATTACAAAGCTTCTTTCAGATCAATAAGAATCCTAAAAATGATCCAATTTTCCTTGTCAGTGGGAAGTAAGCTGCTAATTAAATACCTGTCTTAACTAGCATGGAGTACAGATCCTTRGTAACATAATGTATGCGGTGAGGCCAACCTAATATTAAAAATGTTTGTGATCATCTTATCCTATCCCCTACCCCCTCAACTCCCACCAAGATGTCAGGTTATTGAGGTTTTTTTCTGTCTAGTTTTCATTGAAGACCCCCAACAAAACCCCTTTTTGCAGCTTTCCTTCCTCTCTTCCTCTTTATTCCATCATTATTTTCAGTGGAAAACAACACAGTTGCCCCTCTTCTTCTTCCAATTAGCTCTAATTATAATAATAGTAGCAATAAAGTTGGTACCTTGAGGGCAAAAATCTGGAAAGCAGCAGAGTGTGGAAGAGAAAAAAGATCATGAAACTAACATTAAGCTTCTTACAGGGCTCATGGCAGCATCCCCTGGSCCCTACAGGTTGAGTGCTGCTCTTCCGAGCCGTGCCAAGCTGAGCAGGGCTCCACCCAAGCTACCCCTGGAGTCAAGTGTTGAAGGGCTAAGGTTTGACTTCTCCCTTTGCCTGGCATAACTGGATTCAAAGCCAAAATACACAGGTTAGGTCAAAGAAATTTAGTAGTTATATCAAACACTCCCAAGGGACAACTCTAGTCCTTGAATACATATATTGCAATCAGTGTTTCTGCCAAGAAAACAAATACAATAAGACTAAGTTTGGAAGTGAAAGGGACAAAACATTCCAGCACTTAGGGCATGCAAAAAGGTACTTGTTTTCTTTAAGCTTTGAGCAATAAACCTCTTTTACAGATAATTTTTGATTAAAAGAATGAGCTCGGGTAAAATCTCCAAAAATCAATCTTTCTTCAACTGTCCTTTCAATTTCACACAGTTGGATGAGGAAGTCAGCCAACAGTGCTTGCCAAATAAAGTGATATTAAATACACTTGCTGGAAATCCTTATGCTAAGCAAGCAAGACAGAAAGACAGACAGATAGAAAAAGAACAATAACAATCAAAAGTAATTCCAGCTATGCTGAGTGATAGCAACACAGAGATATTGAGGGGCTTGTTTGCCTCYAATAAATTATATCAGCATGGTGGGTAGAGCAAGGCTAAACTGGAAGAATTTGAGTACATCTTCAAGTTAGGTTTTCTGCATAGCAAAGTGTATGGGGAGGGACCATGCCCAGAGGCCAAAAGGAAGAACTATCCTGTTGGGAACTTTATCTGCCTGTGTAGAAAGACAGAATCTCCTTCTTCCTTAAACTCTACTCATTTTCCCTCATTCCCCTTTATACGTTGCCGTTCTCTCTTCCTTGTGACCTTCAAAGACTGCTTTTTGCGAGCCTATAATCCCACTCTGCAGGATTGTAATTTCCCTTTGAGGACTATCTAAATGCTCCTTCCCTGACAGGCTGATCCAACTGCAGTCCAATTTCGGAGCATTAATTCTGAAAAAGACCCTAAAAGTTACTCTATTGATGTTCAGTTTAGGGCTCCATAGTAAAGCCCTAGTTCAGAAAGGAGAAGATTTAAAAGTTGGTTTATCATCTAGTGAGAAAATGAAAGCTGAGAAGTGAGACTTGGGAATGCTGCTAAGCATACTAGCAGATTTAAACCCACCATTGCAATTAACACTAGTCCAAAATAGAACAAAGAAATGGAAAGAATATTAAGATTACTTTCATCATGTATTCATGGAGTTTCTATCTTTGAAATGTTTTTGATACTCAAATTTTGATACTCAAAATAAGTATCATATAGATTTAACAAGCTACTGTTTACAATACMTAACTAAATCCAGCCTAGTATATTTGAATTTATAGTAGAACTTTTCTGTGGTCAATGGCTAGTAAAAGGTCTGAAGATATTAATTCCGACATACTACTACACATTGTTGTATTATTGGACTACTTGAAATTTCCTCCTAATTGGGAAGGGAAAAGAAAACAAAGGAAAAAATCCATGGATTTACAATACACTACTCCATGGAGCAGTAAGTATTCACATGTTCTGGATAAGGAACAATAAAATAAAGATAGCACATGGATTTGAAACATTAGTTCCTAATGAACAGGATGAAAAAACATAYAATGAAGCCTACAGAGATAATTTCTCTTTTTTCCAGATCCTGTAAGTGTACTGTCCTGAACCACATCTGCAATTGGCTACTGGATYTGTTGCATTCCTGTTATAAACATCCTCTCTGCATTGTCTGGGAGCAGTAAATCACTCTCAGTGCATGCAGGAGGAACTACAGAACTAATCTTCTGTCCACTCCCAATCACTGCATTTCTTTCCCTGCAATCACAGCCGAATCTTCCAAACAGTTTCCATATAATTTCAGGAAGCTAGTGCTCTATGTCAAGATGAGGTTCTATTCCAACAAATCACATTCCCACCTTACCCTCTTTTCTGTGTGAAGGTGGTAGCCAACAAATGACTGCAGAGTTTCTCTGTAATCATCTCTCTCTCTCTTTTTTTTTTTTGTGGATGCTGCAAGTGTCTCTGCCATGCCAGATGCTGTCCACTCAAACCATGACATACATAAGGAGTGCATATGGTCACTCATGTAGTGCACATGGCCACAGACTTTGCTGGTCCCCTTGCACAGCATCAGATGATTTATTACTCATTTGGGATGATATATCTATAAAAAAGTCCATGAAACAARAGAATATAGCAAAACGCAAACCTAGAAATGCCATCATTCTCAACTCCTTTTGAGAGAGAAGGGGTGGTTTAGGGAAGTTTCTGAAAGAGAAAATGGGAAAAGAAGGATTCCCTCACACAGCAGCATCCCTTCTTTTTCATTCTCTCTAGCATGTGTCTTCAGAGTGGCCTGAAGCAACTACTTTGAAAAACCCAGTAACTCTGCAGGATTTCAAATCCAGGTGCAACTACTAAATACTCCTGCTTTTCAACAGATAGTTTGCACTTGTCTATTTAAATGGTTTTGTTTTCAGACCTGACACCTTGAACTATTATCAAGGCAGATGAAGGACAGCAATTGGCATTTATTTCTTTAAAGTGAAATATCTTGAAGTTTATGTTTTGTTACTAGGCTCCTAAAAGTTGACTCACCTTGGCTCTGAAGTTCAGCATATCAATAAATTTAGCCCTAGTTAGTTCCTGTTGCTTAGTTGCAACAGATGCTGTAATGCCAGTACTGAGAATATTCTTTTTTTTTGGCCCCTTACAAGTTACTTAATGAGGCATTGATTTGATCCTATAACRTATATTAGGGATATTTCAGGGATATTTCAAGAACTGCAATGAGGTTTAAAGCATAACGTAGATGGTATCACATTAAAACTCTCATTTATGTTGCATACATCCCGAATTCAGCTTTCTGAAGCRAAACCATTAAGTAAACACTCAACTGAGGAATAGAAAAGTTTAGTTTATCTCCCTCAAAGGCCTATTTAAAAAAAAAAAAGTACATTTAAAATATGCTCTGTACAGCTGTTGTCTTACCATTTGCCTTGTGCTGCACATCTGGCGGAAGCTGGTCAGGAACATACCACTGATAGTCTGGCTGCACAGAACAATAAAACATTATTACAGCAATATGGACTTCATAGACACTTCAAACAAAAGAACAGTGACATGTTAAAAATATAATCGTACTGTAAAGTTTTTTATTAGTCATACAAAAGTAGTTTACAAAAATCTTACATTTGGCTTTAAATTTTCACTTTTTTTTTTTTTTTTCTCTCTCTCACAATGACACATGGCTTAGATGCTGAACTCAGAAATATGGGTGCAAACCTTTCTAGATCCCACAGATCAAAACAAACATTAACAGGAACAAATCAGATTTTAAAAGGGATTTATAGCGTACTGTACCTAAGGAATGAGGAGATAGGGAGAAATARAATGCAGAGATACTATCAGACATCACATTTTTAACAGGCTGCATCCTACTTAAGGAGCACAGAGAAGCCTGGTATGCATCGACCTGACAGGTGAAGCAGCTCCAGTTTGAAAACATGTAACGCCCAGTTTTTCAGTATCATAGAAACAGTCCTTTGAATAAAGGCCTCCTTATTCCTCTCTTCCCTACAGATGAGCACCAGTGTTATAATGACATGAGTTCCTGAAAATGTGGTGGTAAGAGATCTTTATTATCTAATAATTCTTTATTTTTAAAGATCCTTATTGGAAGAGGAAGTACTGGGAAAATTATGTCCACATAAGTATAGTTTTATCCAGTGGAATCCTTCATGATTGGCAACAAGGAAGAAGAAAGAAATATGGCTTATACCACACACTGCAATAAATGAGCAGAAAATTACCCCAGAGAAAACAATTTTAGTACCAACYGATTCAGCTGAAGCTGTATTAAGCTGTCTATATGATCTGAAAGGAATATGCAAGCTTATCAAATAACAAGTAATTACTGCTTTAAATTAGTTAAGCTGTAGAGAGAATTCCTGTTTTGTAGAAATTACTCTGGCAAAATTCTGAGTAATCCCAAGGAGACTCTTACAAATTTAAATTCATAGGAAGAAATTTCACTGATGCACAAAGTTTTGCCTAAATTAAGATGGCACGGGCTGGCTGTGGATACAGAAAAGAGACTTAAGCTTCATTCATGTTGTCCTTGGTGGTTACATAACAATTCACAACATTACACATTTGTCAGAAAAACCAAACTCTTCCCTTTTCACTGATGTTATACCACTCACAGGAATTACCTAAATCTGTGCTGGCAGGCAAACCAAATAGGCTCTGATACAAAATACTTCAGATTGCACATTAAGCACAGGTCGTTTTTGCTCTGATGGCTCAAAACATACTTAGTTGCATTGCTTTTTTGAGTTTCCATTGAATCTTCTCTTCTTTATTCTTCCCTTTCAAACATACTTATAAAATGCAAGCTTGAAAGAAATTCAAAGACAGAAGAGACCTATTTCATGTCAGACTAAACAAAACACTTCTATGGCAACACAGAAAAAAAACCTAAAAGGTGCAAGATATCAAAATAATGAAAAAGCAAAAACAGACTAAACACACACGATTACATATGTTAACTCAGGGCACTCATTAAATCCTAACACCTTTCTTCATTGCTGACAAATTGCTCAGGGAGTTAGCAAAAGCTCAGAGCAGCAGTGCTACATGTGCACAAAGAATTTCAAAGGAAATGCTGAATGAAACTGGAAGTTACAATGCAACCAGTCTGACCAACCCCAGCTCTCCAGCAAGAATGACAAAATTGTCAACTCAGCAATTCCTTGCAGAATTAGAAACCCAGATGATAAAAGTTTAGGGAGAAGAGTCAAAATAATCTGGGACTATGTCCGAACTGGAGTGAAAAATATTCTGCAATACTTACAACTCTGATAAATGGATAGATAAGTATTCTCCTGAAGCACAGGAGTGACTTGTTTGACCACGACTCTTGCATTGGATCCCTGTAGTCTGAAAGCCATGTTTTGCAAAAGCTAAGCCATTCACATGCTTACATCTTTTGATACATGACAGCTTTATAAACATAAAACATAAACAGATAACATGCATTTAAAAATGAGAGTTGCCATGCTTAAAACTGTTCTCCCTATATCTTAAACAAATATAGTCCTTCTCATCAGCACTATGAATTTAAAATAATCCACCAAACTTCAAAAGTATTATTTTTTGAAAAAGCCTGGAATAGATGACAGTCATCCTGATATAACCTGGCCCAGGACTAAGGAATTCCCCTGGCTGCTGAGTGAGAATTAGGAAGGCAGGGTCCTGTCGCGTGTCAGAAGGGAAAAAGGCCAATTGCCAATTTTGTCAGCCACACTCAGATGTAACTTGCACTACTGCTAATTTTCACTTTTTCAGTACATAGACTTAGTCAGGAAAACGGCAGTGCTAAAGCATGCACAGCCAGAATGCATCACTTTCATTCAGTAGAACCTTACTCCTCAAGTATTCCTTGTCAAAACAGAGTACCAGAAGGAAGATACTACTAGAGTGGCATTGCCAGATGACAGACAATTATTTTTAAACAGATGTAAATTAATCTAAAAAAAAAAAAAAAAAAAAAAAAAAAAGCGAGAATCAAACTTTTTTTTTTTGTAAATTAAACAATAACCACCAGTATCATTTAAAGCCAATACACAATACTTAGCTTTTTCTTCTTATTGGTATTATAGATAAATTTATTTTGACAAGTACAATTTACAACATGAAATTATATACTCCATGGGCAACTTATCAACTGTATGTTTAAAACGTTGTTACTTTTCCTCCCTATGCCTAGAAGAATAAATTGTAGAAGCATTAAAAGGGCAATGCTAGTGCTACCATTCACCTGGTGATGCTGTGATTGAGATACGACAGCATGCTGTGCAATTTAGTAGCAGTGACACTGGAAGAAAAGCACATGCTTATTCAATGGGACTTGGTATCTTTGGCCTGCCAGACAGGGAAGGATGCCTAGAGAGATCAAGAAGGRTGTTCTAGATCTAGGAGTAATTCTGCAACACACACACAGTTTTGATCTGGCACCAAAAAGGAGCCAGGATACAACAGAACTGATTACTAGCAAGGACAGCAGTGTGATAGCATCRTATTATTCTTCTGTGATTACCATGCTGTGAGAAAAATCAGTGACCTTGTGAAACAAGAAATAGTAGGAATCTTACTGAGTGCTGTTGCTGTTCACGTGTTCCACAAGATTTTGGATGTACTCGAGGATCTTGATAATGAAGAAGCAATCCACAGTTCCCATAATTAACACAGGGTGAAAGAAAGACTGGAGGTGGGAAGCTGGGCTGCTCAGCCTTTACTGGGAGGTCTTTTGTCTGTAAAAATGTAAGGAAAAAAACAGCAGAAATGCATTATTAGGAGGAAATGTTGACCAACAAAATATACACATAGCAATAAGGTGTGGGGAGAAGAAGAACCCTTCTCTCAGCATGCTGAGAGATGTGAGAATGCTAGTGGTTAAAAAAAAAATTGAGAAGTCTGATTTAAATCAGGGCATTCTTGACAGTTTTTATGTGATAAACTATTGGTTTCAATATGCAGCAAGTATAGTCTTGGGTATTTTCTATAACAAACAGACATTATCATTACACAGAGTAGCATTCAATCCTTTCAAACAAAACTAGGCACTTGCACAACAAGAGGCATAAATAATATCAATCAAGCAATAAATTTTATGGTCTCAAGCTTTAATTCTCTCTTTTTTCTTAGGCCTTCCAAGTCTCAGTACAGCCTTTTGGTATTTGCCTAAGGACAAGGAGGAGTAAGAGCTGGGTCAGAATTAAATAATTTGACTTGTTATTTGAGAAAATAAACTAATAAATATACTATACTCCTCCCCATGTTTGAAGCCCTTCCTAAGCTCTGTTTAATCAAATCAGAGAGCAGGGATAGCCAAAGAAGATGAGTTCAAGCTAAAGTGTACACTTCCAGAGCCCCGGCTATCCAGTACTGGCTGGCTGTGGGATGTGTGTACCTCACAATGGAGATTTTACTTTACTTCAATGCATCGGTGGGCCAATACTTGAGTTAAACCACACCCAAAACCAAGGCACAGGAAAACAGAAGTATACCTGCTGCTGTAACTGCCGTTCTAGTTGTTCCTTTTCTTTGAGACAGGCCTTAATCTGTGGAGAAATTAAATATTCACACTGAAAAATCAACTGCTTGAAAGCAACATCCAAAGCTGCTCTTACTGACAAGATGCAGGAACAGTCAAGTTCAACACACATCACGCAGCACTTGGTGCTGCCCTTCAGGCATTGGTTGCCAACAACATTTCTCCTGGTCCAGAGGAGGGGAGGGAGGCAGTAGGAAAGGCTTCTTCCTTCCTCATTTCTACTGCCTCYATTTAGCGTCACTGCTGTGAGAGGCTCTCAGCTAGGGCTGTGGGGCTGTGCAAGAAATTACTTAGTCATTTACGATCACCAGGCAAAGCAAAAATATAAAGGGAAAAGGTGTCTCTGTGCCCTCTGTCTCCTTTTAAAAAAGAAAAACATTCTTTTACTTAATAAAACACATGGGACATGACTGCAGAACAGGAGAAAACACCTAAAAGTTAYTGCATGTAACACTACTAGATTTCTCTTAGGTACTTCTATATGACTAGGATGTCTTGAAYGGCAACTCACAGCATTCTGTCCAGCACTGCTACCTTTTCATTGGTATGAAATGCTCCCAAGTATCTGTCAAAATACTGCCTGCACTGGGACCTTCCAGCAGCAGGCAGGACGCCCAACCTGCTCCCCTGCAGCTGATGGGAGCGACGGGACACAACAGCACCCGCAGGGCTCTCTGCCTGCTCCATCCTGATCCTACTGCAAGACCCTACTGGTACCGACACRTTGGTTTGTTCCAAACAAGCCAATACTGCAGTTTGTTTCAAAACACAAAGTCRGGGAATACAACACATCATCATAGACCATTTTGGTAGCCTGCCATTCTTTTAAAACATTGCACAATTCTATCCAGACAGGAAATCTTGCAACTTCACCATTTTAAAGAGGGYTGAGAAAGCTCAGACTTTTACATACCATAATTTTGCTTTGGCTTCCTGAAKATCTATGGACAGAATACTGACACTACTCTAAATGGAGAAAAAGAATGTTGCAACAAAACATTATAGCAGAGGCTGCTCAACTTGGTTAGAGACCTTTTCTTTTTTTTCCTGTCAATGATATTAATATCAATCTGTAATTCTACTGCAAAGACCAGGATTCATCAGAGTTTTTTTTATTCCAAGCATTGGTTTRATGTCACAACTCTTTTATCCATTGCCAGTGCAAAACAAAACAAAACAACAAAGAAGAAATGGTCCTTTGGATTTTTTTTCATTTTTTCCTCCCATTTTAAGATATAATTGAAGAGTCTTTGCAATAAGCCCTCCCTTCATCTACTTGATTTGGAAGAAATCTCTAATCATTTTTGATCTTCTTACTGCATTACTTCAGAATGATTTCATCCCAGGTGGTGACCTCACGTAGTATCTAATGTCAATTAATGGAAGCCAGAAAGCTTTGGGTTGTGTGAAAATTGAAAAAATAAAAATAACATACACATGTGCTGGCAACAGTAACTTTCTTTTGACTCATACCTGAGAATTTAGTTTATTCAGTTGAGACTGTAAACCCTTGTTCATCTTCTGCAGTGCTTCTTTTTCTTCATTAAGTCTTTCTCTGTCAGATCTTTCCTTCCTGAAGTCCTCTTCATATATTTGTACCTGCAATCATTAACACTCAGTATCTGAATTTTGGTCCACAGCTTCTGTATGTCTAGGCCCTTGTAATTTAACAGGCTGATTAAGCAATATCTATTTCTAAAGATTAAAAAGAAGATAGCAAATATTAAAAACATAGATCTTTCTATAGAATAAACAGTGGTAGGCAAAAAAAAAAAGAAAATACCAATAATTTTTCCAGTTTTCCCTTCAATTATGAGCACTTTTAACTCCCATCCTACATCTCAGATGTAACCAGCTAGCACCCTGTAGCAGATGGGAGGTACTGGCAAAGCACAGATAAAATGATTTTTATCATGCAGTCTGACAGAATATTATCACTTCATCCAATCTATTGATGAGCCAGGATGATAAAGCAACATTCTGCTCTTTTCACAACCCACTGAACGCCATGTGACAAGCCTGGTCTTGATGCTACTTTGCCTTATGCCTTTTTGTAGTTGTCTGCAGTTGCATCTTTTCCACAGCTTGAGCTCTCCAGTGAAGGTATGGCCCAAAYGATTACACTGTGATTAAGGATTAATACGGGATAGTATTGAGAAGCATTATTAAGAATTTCTTTCTGATCACTRTTATGGCCTCAGAAGTTCAGACAGGATTAGAAAAACAAACAACAACAAGCACATTRCAGGTGGTAGTTAGTAGAAGCTGTAAGCGGAAAACACAATTGCCCCATGTACCTTTTGTCTGCAGCATGGGAGTTCTGGTTCACCCTCTCAAAATGCAGCCCAAAGAATCTATCTGCCTCAGTCTGGAGGCAGAGGGCAAGATTATTTACGCAGTGATAAAGGGAAATAGGGAGTTTTGATCCTGGCAATAGATGATGAACTGTCTTTTATTACTGAGGGATATAGCAGCTTGTCCCTTGTCATGTCACCTAGTGCTTGAGTCACAAACCTTCATGCCATTTTTAAAAATATGACCACCTGACAGTGCATGATTTCAGAAGCCAGATACAAACCTAGAAGTTAACTGGTGGTCRACTAACAAAGTAAGTCAGTCAGGCAACTTATGGGCAGGCAGTTCCCTGACAAAAAGTTCAAGATTGGTGGCACTTCTGCTGACAAGGCTGTCAGACAGCAAAGCCCCGACTCGGTCGAGATTGTCATCAGAACCAGTTCTTTCAGTTGGTCACCAAAGGCAGCTATTGGGCTATTTTAAAGAATTTGCTTGCTACTGCTCATGCATTGCCCATAGCATAGTGCTAGTTTTCCTTTTCCATCAGTACTTCACAGCAAGCCCAAAGAAATGTTAATACCTCAATACAAGTCAACCCAGTGCTATATTAATCATTTCATTAGTAGCCTCTTGTAGCTGATTTTGCAAGGTTTCTTGGAMTCAACTAGATATATTTCTCTTCCTGAATTACAGTGTGTAAAAACACACCCAAAGTTTTCTATGCGGTCGCCTGGAGACTCGGCTCCACGGCCTGTGCCTGAAGTCAGTGGTGCTCACCCTTACAGGCAGAGCTGCCACTTGCACAAATCTAGGTCTCCTGTGTCCTTGTTGTATCTATATGCTTCTCTCCTAGGTATTTCTTCATTTCTCTTCTTTCCTGATTCACTCTCTGCTGTCCAACCTCCCTCCCTCATCAGCTGCATGATCTGTTGAGGCTGCAAYGGAACAAACTATCACATTTGTGCCGGATATTCTATTGCTCCAGAAAAAGGGGACACCTCCTAAGGAGCGAATGGCTTCATCTCCCGTGTCATGGCCAGGGATGGGCTGATGACAGCCAAGCTATGGTGGGATTTTGTCACGTTCATGTTTGTCCCAAGGGCTCTTCCTCCATACGGTTCTAGTCTTCTGCTCCATTTCGTGCAGAGGGAAGTCTGCACTGACTATATTGATTTACACAGCAAGAAAAATACATTCATAAAATGGTTTCCCCATGAGAATCCTGAAAAAATATGTTTTACTCTATCTTATTGTGTAGAATGAAATAACTCATTACTGTAGAATGAAGTGCAGGATTTTACTCTCAAGCATGTGGCAAGCATTACATTAGAGAGCAAAATCTGGCTTTGCTGCCAAACGTGACAGAAACAAGTATTTTATTCCCACTGAACAAACTTCTCATTCTGATCACATCCATTTGTGTGTCAATAACATTAAATCTAACACCGTCCAGGATGTCAGATCTAAAATGTAAATTTTTCTTAAGAGTATCATGTTTCTAAATAGATTATTTCATACAGAGAAAAAGAGTGCACAAAGAACTTRCAGTACTGAAAATGAAAATAAAAAGATATGCTTGTCTATACTGATCAGTATGCAGATTACAGATGCACACTTTGAACTGCAATATCAGGACACATTTCAATTTTACCAAGACTATGATTCTTATATAACTTGCTAAACTTTCAACTTTATTTAAATAAGAAGAACAACCTACATGTAACAGCAACTCCTGAAGATTAGCATTCCCCCTGGATGAAAGTCAGTCCCCAGCAGAGAGCCAGATACCAACACATCCCTGAGAGTCATGAGACCTTTGCACTCTGATGTTGCAAGCTGGACACTAGGCTTTGTTCCCAGTCCTTTCCAAGGACTGAATTTCACTTTGTAGTGTGATGACTGCATCTCAAAAAACGCACCATTTCAATGGTTACAGCTAAGTTGTTTCTTCCTTTCAAAAGCAGCATATGGCAATTCCATCAGAGACAGTTCTTAGGAAAAGGGGTAAATTACACTGCCTCAAGTTATCCAGGTTTATTTCCAGTTGTTCTCACCTGCTGTCTAAGAACTTCAAGCTGGGTTCGCATGTCCTCAAGGCTGTTCTTATCCAGTTTTGCTGAGGGAGTCTCAAGAGCAGAGGAGTGCTGCTTTTTCAACATATCCAGAAGGGCCTGCAACATAAAACAGCAAACTCATTATATCACGTTTTACCACATCAAACAAATTCCTTTCAACTCACGAAAATCTTTGCTCTCTCAGATTCAAGGGATCCAAGGTTTTTTTCCTTGACTTGCAATTGTTCCWATTATCTAAACTGGAGATGAACACAATTAAATACAAACACACATGTTGAAACCCAAATTTGTTAAGTGTCTGYGCTACATCCATGAACTTGAGACAGTGTAATTTAGAAGACTGTGTTTTTATTTACAACTATAACCRATATGTACATATGAAAATCTGAGTTGCAAAGTCTCATTCACAAATATCATTTCCTGTGCACATCAGAATTCGGTGTGTGTGCATATGTGTGTGTGGCGGCGGGGAAAACAAACTCAGGAGAGGAAAAAATCCGAGAACTAAAGCAATATTCAGACACGGCCTAAAAATGCATCTGCATCTAAACCCTTTTCACACTAAGAACACAATTTCCACAACAGGAACCAAAGTCACAACTCTGGCCGAAAGCAAGGGAGGTTATGTAGTCTCTATAGACAGTCACTAGAGGGAGACATATATACACACTACACTAACATACTGCAGTTGCTCTCTTTTAGTCAAATTCTGCAATAGTCCTTCATAGTCTTTATTTATTTTTAATAGCATCCAGCAGCTCTCCCTTGGAGTGATTTTAAACAATTCTCACTCCTCTCTATCTATAAATACCCATTACACTCACACATTTCTCACACAACTCTAGCACCAAYGCTGAACATTTGGTTGGGCACCTTCTGATGTCTCTCAAGGAAGACGGGGACTCTGTTAACTTCATCCAGCTTTAGAAGGTCATTTCCTGCTAGCCCTCCCCAGCAGCCCTGTCTGGCAATGCTCTCCTCATCTCATAGGARAACGGGGAAAAAACATTTTCTCAGGCTGGGGGGCAGGCAGAGTAGAAACCTGATGACTTTTGAAAGAAACAGGCCCTACAATAACCAACACATCAACCTCATGTATTTAATCTTCCAAGATGTGCTAAAAGAAAAGCAAACAAGCACACACCACCAAAAATCACTTTGCATGGGAAACCCAGAGAAGGGAGAAAGATTATCTAATATGCTGTTTTCTGCAAAAACTATGCAGAATATAGATTGCTGTTATACTAGAAAAAGTATGTACAGGGTCAGGGCATGAACACAGCTTAACACAAACATGACAGGATGAAGCTCTGTTCAGACAGCCTGCTGAGACTAGGCCTCCTTTTGCGCCTTTGAACCACTGCTAGTTGCTTTTAAGAAATGACATATCAGTTCTCTGCACAAATAGTAAAATAAATAACAAAATCAAGCTACAAGGTGTTGCCTAGACTAGGAATGGATTGCCAACAGCAGCAAGAATCAGTAAAGTTTAACAGGAGCACGGTAAAAACGAAATGTTCTCTGATCTATTCCAACTCAAAGGCTTCCCCTGCTGTGTGGCTTGCAAGTGTGCTGATGGGCACAAATAGGAGTGAAATCTGCTTTTATTCTCCTGTCTGTCCATGTGGGATAAATATTAATCTTGCCACAGTCACAGAATCACAAAAGTTAGATAGGAGAGGAAACTGGGAGGTTGTTTAGTCTAACTCCTTGCTCAAAGCAGTGCAGTGCTGTTAAGAGGAGGCTGCCCAGGGCCCATCAAGTTGAGCTGTGAGCAACTCCAAGGAAGGAGACTTCACAGCCCCTCTAGGCAGCCTCTTCTAATATTTGATCACCTTCATGATAAAATMAGTTTTAAACCCCCTCAAAAATAAGAACTTCAAAAGCTTAAAAATAGATAAAAACAAGATTCAGACTTTTTAAAACCTCATTTGGATGAAATAATGTTAAACACAGTTTTATAAGTTCTAATAAATATGAAATGACAACATGAATAATGCTGATTTGGTTTAGGGTCTAAAAGTTTGAGAAAAGATTACCAAGACAGTGTTAGGAGTGCTAGGTATCTGAAAAAATTCCTATTAGCTTCATGGTAATGTTACTAGATCAATCATGACTGAATAAAGGAGGCATGGAACATTGAAGAAAAAGTAAGCTAGTTTAATTCTCCAAACAAGACTCTTAAAATAAACAAACTTAAGAAATGACAGAATTCTAGACATCCTCTTTAATCAATTCTGGATTCAATTTCACTGATCATTTGTCTATTGCTACTTTAATAAAGGTCAAAGTGCAAAATATATCAGAAAATCGTACTTCAGGGAAACAAAGAACATGAAAGAAAAGGCTTAAGAGGCAGGTGGATGAATATTCTCAGGAAGAAGAGATAGAACATCRCTACAGAATGCAGAGAATATTTGATCCCCAACAAAAGCCACACTTTGGAATGAAAGTGCAGGGCAAGAAAAATAGTCAAATTAGGCTGTATTTCCTAAAAGAAATTAAGCTAGGAAAAAAAAAAGTCTCTCACTATAAAAATAAAAATGAATAAAAACTTGTAATTACAAGTCTACAAGACAAAATGAAAGTATTTGACTGAAAAATAACTAATGTGGTTCCCAAAGGTAAAAATGAAAAAATTGGTCCATTCAACTACACATCTCTTGATCTAACATTAAGAGCATGCAAGGCTTGAGAAGCAATTTTATAAAGAGCTTTTGACATGAGAGGATGAATGAAATGAAACATTGGGCATATCTGTTTAACCTGGTATCCTTCATAACAGAACAGATTTTCTTAATAGGGAAATACACTAGAGCTGTGTTTTAACACCACGTTTGAGATGGTGCTAAAGCAAAGATACCAATTAAGTCAGGAGAAACATGGCTACTGCTCGAACTATATGGCGAACAAGGAAGAAGCTACAGGAAATGGAACAAACTTGGCTTATGACATGGCAAACTACTACAGCACTGCAAAGACAMCTCAGTGTTGCAAGCATCTATGTAGGATCAAATATTATACTTGGGGTTCTCTGGAGGAACGGATCAAAGTTAAGTGAAACTAAAAGTGTGATGTCCTTAAAAATCAATAGGAATATCATCCATAAACTGGGACCTAATCAGTTCAAAAAGATGAGAGGAAAATCCATCTATATTAGCAAATAGAGCTGCATTTTAAAAGCCTAGAAGAGTGGAGCTAAAGTGTTGCTTAGGGAAAATACGATTGCTCTGTTCACCTATAGCAAAAGAGCAAGGATAGCTCAAGGAACAGGACAGGCYTGCTTGAGAATAAATTAATATGTCTATCCAGACAAACCAAAACAAACTCAGAGCAAAACTGATGAAATCTTCTATCCAGCAGAAGCACAGTAGAAGTAACTCAGGTATTTTCAAGGTAARAATTGATTGATATTTCTTTTACAAGTGTGGTTTATTTGTCCCCTAATCCCAGCTACCTTATAAGATTACAATAAAGCAAAATAAAACACTGAAGCAAGATGTTTTACAAACAAGACTTTCTGTGAAAGTCACACCAAGGTTTTAAGCAAATCCTCCCATGCATTTTATAAAGAGCTATAGGCCACCTACTCAAATTCTTGTATATAGCAACCTCACAAAAAAAAAAAAAAAAGAAAAATATATATAAAAAAAATATATATATCTATCTCAATTTTCACRTCATGGTCCTCAGGCTTGTGCATCACTTAAAAGTTCTACAGCAATGGTTACCGCAGTGCATTTCCTCAGGAAGCATTTGTGGGTTCATCATGAAATACAAAATTGTTAGAAAACACCCACTGCTTTATATGATTTTCTGATTAAGCCAAGTTATGGGTATTACCTTCCCTCTGCTAGAGAAAAAGCAAACAAAGAAACAAAAATAAAACAAAAACTTAAGCTCTTTTACATATACATTTATATACGTGTGTGTGTGTGTATATATATATATAAAATATACATATGAGTGTGTGTGTGTATATATATATATATATATATATGCATACATATCATATATGAAAGACAGGATGGTATTTCCTAGATAGAAAAAAATACCATTCTCCAACACAGAATATATGCAGAGGAAACCATTTTAAAAACTGTGAGGTGTTCTTAATCACAGTGAGTCACTGGATGCATGTGAAAGCATCTTTGTAACACCGCTCATTTTAAGGAGAGGAACTGAAGAGAGCTCTGATATATGGACAAGTTTTACAGAAGTCAAAGTTCTTCTCAACTTTCCTCTTTCCAATGCAAACGCTGCTGCCTGCAAAGGGCAGCGCGCATGCGCATTAGCTCAACTGAGCTCTTGTTTTGTTCCCTCAGCTCTCTAAATCTGTGACCTGTGGATTAAGAAATTTCCAATTTGCTACCATGAACAGAATGCTTATCCAGCTTTAAAAGGAAAAGCACTGCACAGTGTCAGTGTCTGACATCAGAGACTCTATAATGAAAGGAAAAGTTCCTTAGTCCTTAGTCAGTGGCAGACTTTTGTTCCTACCTTATTGAGACGACTTATTTCACATTCATAGTGTTCTTTCTTCTTTATCATTGAGACRTTTTTTTCCTTCAGGAGCTTGTTCTCTTCCTTCATTTCATGGAGGGCRCCAGTGAGGATCCTTATTTCTTTCTGGAATGCAAAAACATAYAGGGAGGCTTCTGACATTCAGCATATCTGCTGTCTGGCAGATTTACTGCAATTCTGTTGCCCCAAAGCTGCTGGTAAGCGAGACAACAGGAAGGCAGATGGTCAATCAACGCTTGGCATGATAAAGTTTGTTGAGGTTGTTCTGACCGCTCACTATATGACAAGATAGAAAAACCACACCAGACTAAATCCTCACCCTGCAGCTGCATAAAGGCATGATAAAGCTGGCAGGCCAAGGAGATGAGTAGCATACRGATGATCATCCCTAACTGTGTTATTCTCATGCGCTCATAACATAAGCAGAGCAAAAGCTCAAAGCAAGAGTACAGAAGAGACCCAGTCTGCTCCCAGTGCCAAGCAACACTGCAGACCACATCAGATGTCAGCACTGGGGCTTTCTCCAATACATGAACAACCAAGGCAGGTGTCAAGTATTAGAAAACCACAAATGCAGGCTTAAACCTGTGCCCCTTCATGAGCCCTATCACAGCTGTTGGTGACTAAAGCTTGCTATCACACAGGGTATGCATCTGCCCCCTTTCCACCACAATAGCCTTCCAGCAAGTCATCCTTGCTTTATTTATACTAATATGAGCTTGCACAACTGCTGATACGGTTGTTGCACCCATGTTGCTCAGACAAAAATTTCCACCATCAGCAGTTACCAGCTGTAAAGGGATAGGCCTCTCTCATCCCTGCGGGACACTCACAAGTCAAAAAAACTCTGACTAAACACAAATACTTGCTGGCTGAGTATATAGTGCATACATTCCTGACTCTAGGCTGAAGTTCTTGGCAGGATAACCAATTCCCCTATGAGATTTTTGGATTACATATTGATTATTCAGGTATGTAATAAAAAAAAATCAAAAGAATATAGCTCGTGCTCATCTTTCAAAAAGCAGCTACTAGTATTTTTCACWGTTGTCATATATTGAAGAGTTGGCAGTAAATATCTTAGTGGTATGAACAAGAAAGATTACCTTGCACCGGATTCCACATTTCTGAAACATACGCAGTGATTCAGAAAGCGGCTAGTGATATGGTTTGCTTTAAAGCACATCAACAGTCCTATTGGTTTGACATTCAGCCCAAGCTTCACTTGGGCCATACCATAATAGATGAGCAAAGAAGATGAATGTTCTGCTTATGAAGATAAATTTTAGGACCTCACACTTCTTTTTTCCCTGCAACAGCTAACATGCATCTTATCTGAGCATGGAAGTGATGCATTTGCCACATGGTTTCAGGTTTGTGTCATGTCAGCTAGTTTCCCAAAGAGAGAGAGAAGCCTGACTCCAGCTGTTAGAACTTGATCCAGAAAATCTTGCAAGAGGTTGTAAAGGGTGAGATAGAATGAAAACAAATCAGGGTAGTAAGCACTGTACTCTTCGCTCTTACACATTGTAAGACAGGTCAAATACAAACTTCTGCATACACATTTGACATGTTTGCTGATCCTAAGTTGGTGGATTTACTTGTGTGGGAATTGACCATCACCTTTAGATGCAAATGTCTACGCAACAGCTAATGCCTAAGGAGTCTTGAAAGAGATGATCAACCAACCTCAGGATGAAGTAAACAGCTCTCTAGAAGAGACTGATCAGCTGAATAACGTGATGAGCTGAATTGCTTTCACCACTAATATGCTGACCACACCTCCAATCTCCAAGCGCAGATAGCAGCTCACATGTAAAAGTCTACACTGTCTACAACAAAATTCAGGTGTCTGGAGCTGAGTTCCAATGCTTTGGTGCAACACGCAGTTTGTGCAACATCTGCAGTGACATGCCTATCTCATTTCAGATCACTGAAGTGCTTTCGTTCACCAGGTGCAAAGTTCACCCACAAAYGGAACAGTTCAGAAGGAAATCTCTGCAGAATTCATATCTATCTGCTTTTTACTCCCCCACACATACTAGGTTCTCAGCCGGTTTCTATGGAAATGACTGTCTCTCAATACATAGCCCTCTGATCAGAAACCAGATGGGCCACTGCTCTGGATTTAATAATGAAGAGCACTCCACATCACAAGCTCATCTAATCGCAGTGCTACAGCCCACGCTGTGCTGCTCATTAAAACAGAGAGAGAAAAGACAAGGCAGCGTTGAACACTGGTAACGGAGTGTGTCCTCCTACCGTTTCCTGCAACGGCCCATCTCTGCCCAGGAACTGCCAGCTCTCATTTTCTGGATGATTTTGATGCCTCTCTTCCTCCAGCTCGCTGACTCTCCTCTGTGACATGTCAAGTTTTGCTTTCATTTCTACCAGCTGAAAAGCAAATAATATATCTGGTGAGCTGACTGGGGTTCCCGAGTCCTGAAACCTTAGCATCCCTAAGGTGCCTCCAACTCCTTGCAACTCCCAACAGATTAGGGTAAAGTTGGGTAAAGGGACCTGGTTGGATATAAAGATTCCAAGCACTGATCTCCCCTTCCCCACCTCCAAGCCCTACTGCTCTGTGCCCACTTAAGATGCTTAATGATTCTGAGCAATTTCTCTGTTAGTGTTAGCCCAGTTGGCTCCAGCACCGATTTTGCTATCAAATGACATCTAGCACAGGGCTATCCCCATTTATGAGTTCTACATTTTCCTGTTCTTTCTCTTCACAGTGAGGGCTCCTTCTGCAGTGACAAACATCCAAAGACATCAAATCAGAAGCATATTAAAAGAGGAAGAGCCATTTAAATTCTCTGTACAAGAAAATCTAGAAAGAAATGATTAACAAAGCTTATTAAAAATTAGCAGACATAGACTTTTCTTTATAAGCATGTGATGTCACTCTGGAAACTTGCTTTCATGGAAAGAAACAAGATATAAGAAGTGTCAGTCACTGAAACAACTTGCTTTTCGGGATATTGAACAAAACTATAAATTGCCAGCTTCACTAAGTAGCTGATTACACCATCTGTGGCAAAGGTGTCAAAGAAAGGAAGAGAGCTATTCCATCAGCATCTCGACAAAAAAGAAAAGTAACAAATGTTTAAATTTTTTAATAATGTTAAAATATTTTTTAAAAAAGCTTTCATATGGGATGGTTTCACAAAGGATAGAATTCCTCTGTATGTAAAGGGCATGACATTCACTCAGGATTTATCTGAGCCCCAGGGAGCATTCAGACTTCACAGGCCACAGTGGAAGGTAGTAGGAAGTGGAAGAGAAGGTGTGAACCAACAGGTGTGAGGCAAGGCAGAGGAGGGCCTGGGCACAACAGGCACTGAACACTCATTTCTAGGGAACTCGTGTGGGGAATTTCTACTACCTTCTAAAAGACAAGATGTCTTTCTGCTATTATGTCCACCACCCTGCTCTCTACTACTTTAAAGCTAATGTGTTCCCCTGGTCATTTTGACTTACTGAACAATGTTTGCACATTAGTTTCACTTCTATTACAAAGCTTTTTTTTTTTTTTTTTTTTTTTTTTT